ATTTTCACTTTTTTTAAACAAAAAATTGAAACATAGAAAAAAACCAAAAAGACAAACAAGAAACAAAAAAACACCCACATACAAAATAGGTATACAGCACCTGACAATGTTACATGAAGTAACTGAAGTAATAAAAAGAAAGACGGAGGCTATATGAGGATCTATACATAACCAAAGTAGGCCGATACTTCCTGTCTCATGATACCTCCTGGGGTATAACTAAAAAAACAAAACAAACATAAAAACTCTGAGAGGAGGATCAAAACCATAGTCAGTACAGAAATAATTACAGAAAGAAAATACAAATACCACATAGCAGCATGATTCATACATTGGTCATTTAAGTCTCATCACGTAAGGCCAAAAATGGCTTCCACACTTTGTTGTAATAGTTTGGTACACTCCATCTGCTAAGGCGCATCTGTTCCACCCTTGAAACAAAGATCATTTCGTTGAGCCACCTCTTAAAGCAAGGGTATGATGAAGACTTCCAGTTAAGTAAAATCAATTTTTTGGCAGCTACCATACCTGTTTTGAGAGCCTGCTCACAGTGGAAAGGGAGGGCCGATGTCTTTTCAGAGGAGCCAAAAATTGCCAGGATACAGTCTGGTTGAATGTATATTTACTGGGCAGTACCAGAATAAATGTGAGAGTGATCCTTCGGCTCTGCCGCATCTATCACACATGGAAGACACTGATTGAGTTTTGGAATAATGCAGTCTATGCATGACTTTAAATTGAATAAACCGCTATCTAGAGTTTATAGAACTCTTCTGTATACTGGACAGGCCCTCCTCCCATAATTCATCTTACAGTGGAACTCCCAGTTCTTTTGCCCATGCATCCCTGAGATGACTGGTACTCGCTGGTGTCTCAGAAACAGTAATGAAGCGGGAAATCAAATGTTTGGAGTTTGGTTGTAGGAGAAGTTATAATTGTTTGGTCTTATTGGGAAATCAGAGACATGCTCCCTTACAAAGTGTCTGACCTGTAAATATTGATAAAAACGTGACAGAGGGAGGTGATATCTAGCCTGGAGCAGAGGAAAAGAAGCAAAGTTGTTATCTATGTAGAAGTCTGAGATGCAACGTAGGCCTCTCTCTCTCCAGTCCAAATACACTCCATCCGTCAATTGTGGTTTAAACAAGTGATTGCCTATTATTGGGGCATTTACTGAAACATTTGGTAATCCAAGGAATTTTCTTATTTAAATCAATATCTTCAAGGAATTTCTAAGAACTAAATTGTAGCCAAATAACTGCTAACGGCTGTGCACTTGAAAAAAAGCAACGCTGGGAGCGAGGTTTGTGACACAGACATGAATTCAAACTTTAGCCAGAATGGAGAGGAACAGTCATCATAAAGAGAACCCCCCTGCCAGAAAATAAAAGCCCTTGCGTTTGCAGCCCAATAATAATGCCTAAAATCAGGGAGGCCACTTTGTACATTCTTCTGCAGATGGGCTTAAGAGATGCGAGGAGGTTTATCTGCCCAGACAAATGACAGGACAACAGAGTCCAGTTGTTTAAAAAAAAAATATGATGGAAAATAGATAGGGAGGTTTTGAAACAAATACGAGAACCTTGGAAGTGCAATTTAAGACAGGCTCTTAACTCCAGATAATCTGGAATTGTCTGGGGCTTTATGTGAGAACGCAGGAGAGGCTCTGATCTTTCTCCTGCCAGCCCCCCAGTAAAAACCCCTGATGTCCGAATGAGTAGATGCGAGGACACGGCAGGAGATTCTCCAGTGATACTGACACGATTCACTGTAGAAAGACACCATTGTTATGTGTACCACTTACTTCAAATGTTGCCAAACTGCCAGACTGTTTATATCCACCGACATATTCACATTGTGCTCACGTCACAAGTCAAATCCAAATCTCCCACTGTGTGTGTGTGTGTTTGTTCAGATCTCTTTCTGTGGGAACACTTATCTCTGTGGATTACTGGTGGACCACCAACGTAGCTCTGCGTGGCCTGGACGAGGTAAGTTCCATGAAATGAGACACGGTCACGGTGCATTTGGTCAGTTTGGTTGTGGTGGTAAAACTTCTGTAGGTGACTGCCGATCTTGTTTTGAAAAAATGAGGACTCTCTTTACTGTTAGGCACCTTAAATGTATTTAAATATCTTTTGATAATAATATTTGATATTGAAGTCACAGTTTCTGGCTCCTTGCTGCTTGTCCCTGTTTTATAAAGTTGTGGAAGTGATTTGTTTCGTTAATACAAAGACAATTGAATGGCTCATTAATGACAATTTATGAAAACATGATGGATAATATTTAGTAGCAATTTTAAAATAGTAACCAAATGATTTTTAGTAAACGCATCATATTAGTTATGTACTACATAAACGGAGTGTAAATTACATAACACAAAAGAAAGCTTAGATTAGGCCTGGGCCGATAATCAATAAATCAATTAATCGCACGATAAATTAAAATGAACTCAATAATTTTTCCGGCCTCGATATATCGCCATGTGCATGCGTGTTTGTAGTCCTCGTCTCTCGCCTCCAAGCAGGCTGGATGACAAGAGGGTTCACTCTGTGCTCGGTCTCAGCACCTGGGGGCGTTGGTTGCGGAATGAACGGAGTGAACCCTCCTGTCAGTCATCCAGCCTCTTTGTCTCTGTGGGGGGAGGCGGGGCCGSTAGCATTAGCCACACATGCTACACACACAGAGTGCAGCTAGTGAGCGTCGTGCGGAGCAACGCGAGGAGAAAAGATGATTGTAAAGCCAAACGCCACAGCCCCGGTGTGGAAAGGTTTCGGCTCCAAGCCGAATGAGCAAGGTGAGCCCGTCAACACGGACGAGCCAGTTCAAAAGTGGTGGCAGCGAAAAAAGGCAACATAACAAAGTCGCATGCCACCTGAAGCATCACCACCCGACCCAGTGTTCCCAGCTGGGGAAACAAAGTGCAGCTCGAGATGCAGAGCCTTCAACACTCACTCAGGCGTTCGGTCTGCAAAGTAAATATAAACGGAACAGCGCAGAATGGTGTTCGCTCATTGTCTTTGAAAGGGTGTGCATTATTATTATATATTATCATGTTGACAGTTATATCGTTTATTGGCTATAATTCGTGTGACAATATATCGGCCAGCAAAATTTGTTATCGTCCCAGGCCTAGCTTAGATCATTTTTTGTATAACTTATTGTATTGACGGTGTGTCCCAGCCTTGGCTCTAAAGCTGCTCTCAGACATGTACTGAACTCTGGATATCCTCTGCAGTTTCTCCGCCCAGCCCCCTAGTTTGAAGTCTGCAGAAAGCAGGACCCTTTCTGAAGAGTAGAACGAATGTATTACAAATGGTTTCATTATGGGTTGGTGGTCAATAGCTTATTGCAGCTTTTGATTTTAATTCTGGACAATCACGTCTTCCGTCTGTCCTCCCCTGCTAGAGCAGCCCATCTTACATGGCCGAGATGTCAGCCTGCCACCAGAGGGCGGCAGACAACATGGTGGAAGGCGCCGTCAGGAACGGAGGAATATACATCAAGCTCGGCCAAGGTCTGTGTTCCTTCAACCACCTCCTGCCCCCCGAGTACGTCCGCACCCTGCAAATACTGGAAGACAAGGCCTTGAACAGGAGGTACAAAGAGGTGAGAGCAGCTCCACAGACAAAGCCTCGCAGTCCAGTGGAGGAGGACGGCGTGCTGTTTCTCAGGATTGTGTCTGTGCCGGTTACAGGTCGACGCTCTCTTCCAAGAAGACTTCAACAAAACCCCAGAGCAGCTCTTTAAAACCTTTGACCATGAACCTATAGCTGCTGCCAGCCTGGCACAGGTTCATAAAGCAGAACTGTTTGATGGGACTCCTGTCGCTGTGAAGGTGAGCACTGGTTCAGAGAGTTTATTTTTTCCTCATCTCTTTTAAATCTAGACACTTTTTTAACATTTAGCGTCACAAAAACAAGATTTTTCATCTTCAGGTCAGAGATAGATAAAGAGGTTCTAGTCTTTTTTGGGGGTCAGTAAAAAAATGTGTTGTATTATCATTCCAAATGTAATTAATTTCAAATTCCGCTCCTCCACAGGTGCAATACATTGACCTCAGGGATCGGTTTGATGGTGACATCAGAGCGCTGGAGATCCTGCTGGATATTGTTAAATTCATGCACCCCACTTTTGGGTTCCGCTGGGTTCTTAAGGTCAGGATGTATTCATGTTTCTTTTTTTAACTGCATATGTCCAGGAGAAAGATGTTTGGACTTTTATTGATGTCATTCAGTTCATTCTAAATTCTCACAGGACTTGAAGGGCACATTGGCCCAAGAGCTGGACTTTGAGAACGAGGCCAGGAATTCCGAGAGATGTGCGAAGGAGCTGGCACACTTCAAATTTGTAGTTGTGCCCAAAGTCTTCTGGGAGCAAACTAGCAAGGTGAGGTCTCGAGTTATGGTTCTGAAACACCTGGATGATTCTGTGATGCTTCGTTTCATCATTTATCTTCCTGTCTCTGATTTGAAGAGGGTGCTGACAGCAGAGTTTTGCAACGGTTGCAAAATTAACAACGTGGAGGATATTAAGAGACAAGGGTTGAGTTTGAAAGATGTGAGTTCATGGTCTCTGGACAAAAGGATGATATTAAAGAGACATGTATTATCACTGAATCACTGGCTGAAATATTTTATATTGAATATCTTTCAGACTGCAGATAAACTGATTCGAACGTTTGCTGAGCAAATCTTCTACACTGGTTTCATCCACGCTGACCCTCACCCTGGAAATGGTGGGTACATCAGCTTTAGCTTCCCTCTTTTAAATTCTACTTATGTTTTCTTATTTTATTAGCTAAATAACATTTTACCTATAAGAACGTCACTAGAAATTTATTCTTTTTAGCAGGGTGATCTTACTACTAAATATCACGAGTCTCCACCAGAGGTCACTCACAAGTAGATTTATCTGAAAACAATCAAATAACACATTTATAGATTTATGCAAATGTTGTTCTTGTATGTTAAAAAAATATATACCAGGAAACCATATATATGGAAAATATTACAAAAAGTGCAGAATTAGTTAAACCTCTATCCGAAATACTGAAATAAACCTGATTTGTCATTTGATATTTTTTTAATGTATTTAATATTATTTTAGTTAAAAATGTGTTTCTTCCTTGTTTTTAGTTTCACTCTGTTTTCTTGTCTGTGTGGGCAGTTCTAGTGAGACGAGGGCCCGATAACAAGGCCGAGCTGGTGCTGTTGGACCACGGGCTGTATGAATACCTCAGTCAAAAGTAAGAGTTGGATTATTCAGTTAAAAAAAAAATATATATGTGTGTGTGTATATATATATATATATATGTATATATATATATATGTATGTATATATATGTGTATATATATATATATGTATATGTGTATATATATGTATATATACACATATATGTATATATATATATATATATGTTTGCTGTCAGCTTTAACTGTGACCTTTGACCTCAGTGATCGAGTGGCCCTTTGTAAACTGTGGAGATCTGTTGTCCTGCGAAATGAGGCGGCAATGGAGAAGTACGCTGATGCACTTGGGGTCAAAGGTGAGGAAACATAAAGTCACGCATGTCAGTAAATGTTGCATGTAAATTCATCTGAGTGCTAAAATCCAATATCAGAGAATTTCCTAAATGTAGAAGATTTGAAATGTACTTTGAATCAGTGATTTGCTTCCTCCTCTCATTCGCGCCGCAGAGTACTTCCTCTTCTGTGAGATGCTGCTGCAGCGACCCATCAACATGCGGGAGTTCGGACTGTCCAACATCCTAAGTCGAGAGGAGACGACCTACATGCGCGACATGGCCGTGCACCGCTTCGGGAGCATCATGCAGGTGCTGAAGTCGATGCCGCGGCCCATGCTGCTGGTGTTCAGGAACATCAACACAGTGCGAAGCATCAACATCACGCTGGGAGCGCCGGTGGACCGCTACTTTGTGATGGCAAAGAGGTATCACATGCAACTCTTTAAAAGATAAATGCAGAGTCACAAAGTGCAGCTAGATTACAATATGCCGTTTGAGAACTTTAACAACTATTGCTAAACTATTAAAAGTCAAAATGACCTTTAGCAGTCTATCATGATGATCTGTCATTGATCCGTCGTGAGTGATCCAATCACAAGAGGTCAGTGCCAAGTTCAGGTCTCAACGCACCCAAATGGTCCTGTGACTTAATGACTCAGACCAAATTCTGAGGCCACGTCCTTTTAGCTGTTGCTTGTCTAAAGGTTCTTTTTTCTGATAAGTTCCAGTTCAGTGAATTAGTTATTTGATACTGTAATAAGGGTGTGAAACGTAATGATTGACAGCTGAGACGCACTTACAATTGGTCAAGGCTGTGTATCTATAGGACCTCGATCGCTACTATTCAGACTATAGCTCCAAATTATGTCTTTGGCACAAGAGGGCAACGTCCATATCCGGCATATTTTTGGCTTCATTTCTGGATAGTGGGGGAGAGGAGACGCTTCATCCATCAGTATACAGTCTACGATCATCACTCACATTAAGTTTAAAAATAAATCTTACCTCACCCTTTTGCCTTGATAATGTTGCTTCACACACGTAATGTTTTTCAGTGCGGTCCGAGGCTGGGGGAAGATTCAGGCAGAGAAAGCAGGGATCCTGCCCCAGCTCTGGGTGTTCCGCTGGGTCAGGACAACGTGGGAGAGCCTCAGGTTTGAGGTGGCATTGAGGCAAGTGCTCAGTTGAGTCAAAAGTACAGTAAATATTTGTTTTTGTGACTGAGCCATCAGGAATTAATGATACGACTCCTCTACAGGTCAGAGATGGCAATGATGAGTCTGACGCGCTCCTTCCTCAGCCTGCTGTCATACTTTGGTCTTCTATCTCTGGAGGCCGACGTGTACGAATACCTGAGGTAGTGCACGGCCACGCCACGACGACAGAGGACAAGCTCAACCTAATGCAATCCAACAAGGAGCCTTCTGTGACGGTGCTGCTCGAGTGTTCCTCTCACCAAATCACATTTGGAGCCGATGTCTTCAAAACCGACAGGAACAGATTGAACTTCAGTTTGACGGTGAAGCGTCTAACCTCTCTCCGGTTTCACATTTTAAAAGCTTATTTTACTGATTTTTAATGAAACTTTTAATATTCAGCTTGTTTTTAGTGTTATCATACTTACATTAAATTAAAATTTCAAATGTCTAAGGACATTTCATGTTGTTTTTTAGCAGCAGCATCATTCTGGCTATGCAACACATCAAACGGTATTCCTTCAGTAATTAAGGTTAAATATTTAATCTCGATGATTTCCCTGAAATGTTTAACTCTACTATACTGTGCAGGTTTCAGATTTCAGAAAGCAGCTTAAGTGAGTGTGTCTCATCATCGATGGGTGTGGTCCGAACCCGTGAGTACTGTTGTAACTAGAAGTAAACTCAGAGAGCACGTACCTCCGCCAAGACAATCGCCCTGTTTCGCCATGTTAAAGACAGGGTTGGTAATCCTCAGGAGGTGTATCCTGGATCCACTCTATTCGATTCCTGAAGTCAAACACTTTAAAAAGAGTTAATAGAAATGTCTCCTTGGCGAAGGGAATAATGTAATGAAGACTGAGTGCTCATTGGTCATTGTGACCTTACCAAATGATCTCTGGTTTAATCTTAAATAAAATCATCTACCTCCTGTTTGAGTTTGTGTGTTACTCGCTCAACGTGAACACATAAACACCAGTCGTGTTAAATTGATTTCACAGATTTTTTTTTTATACAAAATATTTTAAGAAAACACAACTGCCCTGTTTTTTTTGAACCAGTAAGAAAAACAAACAAGGATTTCACAGAGATGTGGGAATGTGGCTCAGAAATGAGCTGTTACTCTGTCGATCTCCAGAAGGTCGTCCAGGATCTGGAGAGAGAAGGTGAAATGAGGAAACACACCTGAATGCATTCTCTGTTGTGTTAGTAGTGAGTGTGGTTCGTACTATGTCCTGAGTGGTTCCAATCTTCTTGGCCAGCTCACTGCGCTCCATGGTGCTGAGGTACAGGTACTTGTTGAGGAGTTCTCCGTCCAGGATGTTCCTCACGGCGTTCTGCAGGCTCCGTCTGTCGCTGTGTAGCATTCTGAAGAAAAAAAAATACACACAGGTCGATTAAAAGATCAAACTCTCTCTAATACACATCCCATCTTTGAACTGTATGATCATGTGACCAGTAGAACACTGAGGAGCAGCGTACCTGAAGGCCTTGGGGTTTAGACCAGCGTGATGAGGCAGCATGGTGTTGAGAGCATTCTGTAACATCAGCAATCGTCTGTACGTCTTCTCCTGCATGGGCAGCAGCAAACCAACTCCCCCGTCTAAGGTTGCTGTGGGAACAGACAGGATAAACATGAGTGTATGAAGAGGATTTCAGTCCAAGAATGTCATGTGATGTAGATATGTCGAATGTAATGGTTTTTCTCAACTTTAAAAATGTTTATCTATATTTTAATATTGTTTATTACATTGAACAATGCCCAACAAAGGTCAATGACAAAATGCTATTGGCCTCGCTGTTGCTCTCTCGTTCTTCCATCATCAAAACATGCATGAATTGTACACCGATCCAACCCGACCACCTCACACATCCTACCCAGCAGACGTTTCTTACCAAACCACGTGATGTGCTTGTTGTCCCAGGTCAGAGACTTCTTGCTGCCGACGTCCAGCGCTCCTCTGCACGGCATCCGCCAGAAAGTGTTGATGTGAGCTCCGGCGTTAAAGTCAGCTCGCCTCAGCAAACGCATTCCTCCGAAGCTCTCTTTGGCTGAAAAAAACATATAGGAAATTGCATGACTGGATGTGTATTTGTTACTGAGTTAGAGGTTTGAATATGTAGCTCCAACTTTTAGTTACCTTCTGGTAAATACATATATACATAGAGGTTCTTGTCGCGATCTGACACTGAAAGAATTAAGAAAAGAAAAATTAATTAGAAGAGGATTTGTTTTGTGGCTTAATTGAATTGTCTTCCACGGAGCTTCACAAATTACCCAGGAATCCGAGCTGGTTGTTATCCACCATGAATTCAATGCTGTAAACCTCCAGGGGCTTCGCATCCTGGTGCCGGAACAAGAAGAGAACAGTTCAATTTAAACGAGGGCAGCTGCAGTCCCAGAATTCTCTGCCAGAACTGCTCTCTTCAAGACGAACTCAACTGGAGATTAACACCCACGAGACACAGCGTCAATACTCACTTGTACATCTTAATCAATAAACAATCCACTACTTGTACAACAGTCCATAGGGCAGTTAATCTGCCTCTGCTCTTGAATGCAACACTTAGAGCTGCTTGTTTGTAAACTCACCAAACCTCAAGCCTGTGGCTCTGAATTCAATCAGAATAGTGTCTTATATCAGTTTGTTGGCCACTCACCCTGCTGACGAGCGACAGCGTCTTGCTCTCCTCCTGGTAGCGCAGCAGCGAGATGCTCTTCATCAGGTCGGCAGCCAGGATGAAGTTCTTGATGCTGAACATCTGGTGGATGTGCAGCTGAGTGTCGATGAAGGCCATGCCTGTCAGGTCGTTGTCCTTCAGGACCCATAGGAAGATCTGCAGGGACACAGAGGCCATTGTCCTCAGAGTTATTTTTGATGCTCAAGTGATCAAAGTGGTGCAGACTTTACTCTTTACTCTGGAATCAGCAAAAAAATAAATATATGAAGATTATACAACTCATACAAAACACAGCTGGCAGGATTTTAACCGACACTTTAGAGAATTGACCATGTTGCACGAAGCTGCACTTCACTGGTCACCTGCAAGTTTTAGAACTGATTTTAAGATTTTAGCCTTCAACGATCAGGCTCCTGCCTACCGCCTGCCTGGAGATTTCAGGCAGGCGGTTTCACTATTTCACTATTTCAATTCCAGTTTTAATATTAGCCTGTAGTTGGACATGATCTGAGACAGCAGTGTTTTTATGGTTTCCAGATAAATGAAGTACAGATGCTGTGACAGTGAGACCTTCTGTCCGATGGCTGAAACCAGGTATCCGTTGCAGTGACACAGAGCTGTCACCGGCCCCTTCTGTTCCTTCTCATACAGCACTTTGTACTTGTTCTTGGTGAGGGGCTGGCCTGGCTCCGGCACGACTTCAATCACGTCCATGATAAAAATCTGAGCACAAGAAACAACGACAGTAAAGTGATTTTAAAGAAAACTGAGAATTTGAGTCATTAGAGCTTCAATGTCTTATTCTCGTCAGATGTGGCCTCTGTGAATCCCTTTTACAGAAACTGTATGTGCTGCTCACCCGGCCCCTGCAGGTGACCTCCTCTCCCTGCATCAGGCAGGTCCCTGCTGCCACGTAGCCCTTCAGGCCAGACACTGTCTCCTGACTCCTCAGTGCCACCGTCTTCATACAGGTCACATGTTCCCACTCCTCCAGATCGATCCTAATGGAGACAAGAGGAGTAGTTACTGATACACCGGCTTCTATCTAGAGTTTAATGTGTTCCTGTGTTGGTTCTTCTGACGTCTTGCCATTATTTGATAGAGGGCAGATACAGGGAAAGACATCATTCAACACAGGATGTGTTCAGTTATATTGGCTGTTCTCAAAGTCATACACACTACAAAATGATTTGAAGGAAATCATCTACATTTGTTTTGAATGAAAATAGTAGAAAGTCTGTAATTGGATCCAGACAGTGACAATTATGAGCCCAGTAGTTTAGAGGGGAAAATGCAAAGCTTGCAGAGTTAAAAACAGTTTGTCACAAACCACAACCATTTACTAGTTAAAAAAAAATTCAATCCTCAACATATTCATATAGAATTAGAGATACAAAAAATATGGATCCATTCGTCAGTAAAGACAATCTTCTTACAATTATAGAAACTAAATTTGAAATTAAGACCATTTGCTCACAATAACCCTTTCACTGATGTCACTATAGGTATTTATTTATCTAAATACAGCTGTTTATCAAAGAAACTTTCTGAATAGCTCTTTACACACAGCAGCGTAGTAGCAGCTGAGCTGTTAGTCACACAACATGAGATGATAGCAGAGAATATGCAGGGTGATATCTCGGCAGTCCAGTGGTCAGTTTTAACTGCTGACACCTCTAAAGAGCCATCCGGGCCAACATAATCGAGGGACAGCCACCAATTCCATGCCAGCACACCATCCCCAAGTAGAAGGAAGCAAATACACTGTGTTCAGACACAGGTTGTACCAACACAGGTTTATTACAGTTATAACTTAGTATGTGTCCTGCTCTAGTTCTTGTTGTTTCTGGGGTAATTGCCATGTGAGTAGTGATGATGGACTCGCACAACTACACACTTTCATAATATTTGTGTTATTACTACTTTAAAATTGTCCATGCTGAGTATTACATGTCAGAAGCAGATAGCAGGGCCCAGTTTGCAAAGCACTGAAGCATGGCTCCATATTTTAATAATATATTCATTGTGTGCTCACATAAAAATGATAACGATGCATTTTCTCACACAAGTGTTGCCTGGACTTATAATTGTGAAACACTGAAAACCAGACTTACTGTGCTGTTCCTCACTGAAGCAGTTAATGATGAATGACCAGGGACGTGGATAAATTACCCAACATGTCCAACTAGTCCTGGATAATGGAATGAGGCTCAGCAGCAATGTGAGACTGAACTAATCGTCTACAGAATGACCCAAGATTTTCAACCAAATCCCCAAGTTCTCTAACAGCAGCACAAAGTCTGCAGGACAACCGGCTCCAGAGAAAATGAGAAAACAACACTTGCAAATGACCACATTATTATTGGTTCCTAATGTCTGTTGAAACTAGACATACTGTAGATTTTCTCTTGTTCTTGAAAAGGGGCAGGATGTATAAAGAAAACAGCTTTTACCGTGTGTTGGGAATAATCTCCCAGCTGACTGGAGAGATGAGCTGGATGGAGAACCTCTCCTGCTGAGGATTAATGTAACGATCATCTGCAGGATGACAACACAGACATTTCAGTAAGATACTGCATTAAAAAGGGAAATGACTGTTTCAGAAATTCATGCAATGCTGATCTCCATGAATGTACTGTCACAAAAGCAGTCATATCAGTAATCTACTATAAGTAATGCACCACCTTTAACAATAGTGAGTGAATAAGAGAATTGAGCACATAAGTCTAAACGTGGTTGAAAATGGTTGAACAAGTTAACAAAGAGAAATGTCAAAGTTGGGATAGTGATGCATTGATGTTTGGAAAAAGTAGCTAAAATCTCACAAAAAATATTTTTCAAACAACTGAATTTTTAGCTTTAATGAAACGTACCAGTTGAAATAGCTAAAAGTAATTTATGGGTTTAAAATGGATAAATGGTTGAAATAGCTAAAAGAAGTTTACATAATTTCAAAACATCTTACAGATTAAATGATTAATATAGTTATTATATAGAGGAATAAACAAAATTGTCAAAAAGCTTAATTGTTAAAAAATATATAAAAACTTTCCAAACAGTTAGCTTAAGGAAACGAATAAACGATTGAAATAGTCGCTAGAATAAATGGATAAATCTTTAGCTAAAAGTAATTTGGAATGGTTAGCTAAAACAAATAGTTAGCCAAAAGTAATTTAGTCTAGTGATATGCTTTGCTAAAATAAACACCAGACACATATACAATGTGACAAGTTTGCTGATATCAAATCT